TTTTTGTCACTATCGCACATCCCTAGTAATGGATATGATTGTTAATGTTAACGTATTTATTAATGTATCTACAGACAAGTTGCAATGAGCAGAAAGATGTACTACTGCAGCACAAATAGCATATATGAAATTACCCGAAGCAGATCTATACAGGTGGAGCTGGGGGAGGTGGAGTGTTTCTGAAAGCGTGCTTACAGCAAACACTGAACCAAACTATTTAAATGTTGACCAAGCAAATAAAGTGGCTGCATATCCAACAGAGACCAGTTAGCTTGTGCCACGTGGCATGTGGTAGGTTGAATATTTAGTCACCTGATATCAAAACTTTTATTGTGGACTCATTAAATTTTTTAATTTTGCGATGATATAACTTGAATGTAAACGAAAAGATTTTTTAACTCCTTTAAATTGATCGTTCAACCAAGAATTAATTGTGTGCGTGTACACGGGTGCTTGAATTCCTTGAAAATGCTTGAATTTTAATGTAGTGTTTTCAAGGTTTGAAAAATGCTTGGATTTTGGATAAAGTGCTTGAAAAGGCAGTTGCATTGATTTCAGAATAATTCACTTTCTTACTGAATAGTTAATTTTTTTACATAAAATAAGCCTAAAACAGCTCCGCTGGAGTCTGCGCGTGTGGCTGTAGTGCGATCTCTATTGATGTCAGCAATGGCTTGAAAACGACAAATAGAAATTATGGTTAAAATGAGAACTAAATACTTGAGTAGCCTCCTGCTAAGTCTGTTTTTTCATGGAATAGTCTGCGCTTTCGAACCATATAAAAGGTCAATAAAAATGCCCCTGCTCAGTTAAACTAAATCTTTTAAGACTGTCGCGATTAAAGTGAAATGTGAAAATAAATTAAAAGTGTTTATTGCGGCATACGTTTAGATCTGCTCACAATGCATACAATTTCTTTATGCGCATTTTCCCCCAGCGTTGAGCATTATAATAAATCACACACGGTGTTGAGCGAAAATTTTAAAAAATCTGCAAAACGCTACAGTTGTGTTCAGATCATGCGCTCACTGAATGCATTCTGTACTCTCTCCAATACTGTTATCATAAAACAATTTATGATTCAATGTAAACAAGAAATTCATTTTGCGGTTTAGACAGCGAGATTCAGTGAGCTTGTGCTAGACTGAAATCATCCGTTTCAGTGATGTGTCCGAACGTTTTTTGCTCGTTTTCTGTATGTTAATCCCAAATTGAATAAACATTTAGTTTTTCATGCTACTAAAATAATGTGAAGAATGTCATGAATATGACGTGTCGTAATCGACATTAATCGTCATTGTCACATCAAATTTAAGGACATAAAAAGACTTAAATGCCGTAAACGGTACTTTATAATATAAGAAAACACTTTATTATAATTTCAAGAAACCATATAAAAGGTCAATAAAAATGCCCCTGCTCAGTTAAACTAAATCTTTTAAGACTGTCGCGATTAAAGTGAAATGTGAAAATAAATTAAAAGTGTTTATTGCGGCATACGTTTAGATCTGCTCACAATGCATACAATTTCTTTATGCGCATTTTCCCCCAGCGTTGAGCATTATAATAAATCACACACGGTGTTGAGCGAAAATTTTAAAAAATCTGCAAAACGCTACAGTTGTGTTCAGATCATGCGCTCACTGAATGCATTCTGTACTCTCTCCAATACTGTTATCATAAAACAATTTATGATTCAATGTAAACAAGAAATTCATTTTGCGGTTTAGACAGCGAGATTCAGTGAGCTTGTGCTAGACTGAAATCATCCGTTTCAGTGATGTGTCCGAACGTTTTAGAGATGCCACTGCTACCTTCAGCAGCCTTTAGAACCTGGTTTCGCCCGTTCATGATATGACATCCATTTAGTGGAACTCTTTCTACCAATTCACCTAAACCTAATCAGTTTTTAAATCTCTTTTCCTCCAGCATTTCAAAATCCAGGACCTGATACTTGCTCAGGTCAGCTTGGTCTTTGGACTTGCACCATTTACTCTCAGAGGCGTGAACTTGGCCCGACGGTCACAACGAGCATCTCTGAGTCTGAGAAATACTCTTTGAGGAACAGACTCAGGACTCAGAGAGTGACAGAGGAATGCTGTACTGTACCATGATGCTGCTGCAGCCATCTTTTGGGTGTTACTCTTCAGTGAATAGCACAGTTTTTATAAAACAGACTACATGATCAGTGGTTCTCAGACACCAGTCGTACACAGCATGACCCTGGAAAATTAGACTATTAAACAAAAAATTTAATTTTGTATCTCACCACATTTTCATGATGATGCAACAAGATTTTTGGTGCAACAGTTTTTAATTGGGCATTGAGACATGCTTAGACATCAACACTCGTCATACAAACAAAAACAACAATCAGATAAACTGGTCAATTCTAAATAGAACAAATCGAGCTACAAAATAAAATTAGAAAATCGAATAAAAGCAGAAAATAGTAAGTAGAAAGTTAAGACAGTTCAGCTGCATAATTTATTAAAGCCGCAATGCATGCTGGGAGCAATGTTTACAGTAAGTTTTGTACTATGCACTGCAGCATGAAACTTTTTTGTTGACATGAAAAGTCAAGGGACACAAATCACCATAACGGAGACTTAAGACAATAACTAGAGCCAGACATTTGTTAGTTTTCAGCAAAAACTTTTGTACACGAATGAAAGAAATAAAGGCAAATTGGTAATGAGTGATGCTGGTAACGCTGTTTGTGGAGCTGTTTAATCATCGTCTGCTGAGATCTCGATGTCTTCTTTTATTTGGCTTATTTCATCACAAGTCAAATGCAGTTGTTGTGTTCCTGCTCGTCTCCTCTTTTTCTCTGTTCTTTGCTGTTTCTCTTTCCTTCAGTGATTCTGCTTGTTGACAGTAGGTGTCATCACTATTGGTCAATAATTTCTTTATTCATCACTTAACTAACTAATTAACTGCAACACTGCTCAAGTTTGACTTTTTACTGTCCTTAGACTGGACTCAAGACACCAAGCTGTGTACATTTACCACCAAGGATTTTGCTGTGTAAAAAAAGAAGAAGCTGAAAATCACAGGCAGTGTGAATAAAGTTAATCAATCTCCAATCATTGAGATCAAAAAAAAGATTAAAGATTAAAATGTTTTAAATGGCACACACACACACACTCACACACACACACAGCCTCCTGCTTTCTGTTTCTCAGAAGTTTTGATGTGTGCAATATCCTGTGAGTTGAGGTTTTACGCAGAAGTAACCTCATGTGTCGCACACATACATTCTTTTGCAGTTCTCAGCCACTAAACGGCTAAACACATTGTAAACATGTGCTCTCAACTGATGCAGTTGCGAGTACAAGTGTAAATGCGTTCTGTCCGCAAATGCTTTGTTTTTAGTGGCCAACATGTGCAGTAACCTGTTATTTTGCTTCACAGTTGACTCATATGTGTGGCTTGCAGAGTGTGGTTTATACAGATAACATGCAAAACTGTCTAAATTCATAGCAACAAACATGCCAGAAAGATCTAGCACTCTTAAAATAAACACATACATACAAATACATTGTAAAAAGGATATTTCAATCAAAAATTTAAAAAACTCAACCGTTGTCAACTTCATGTCATTCCAGCTGCAGACATTTTTCAATTAGGTCGTACAGTAATTGTCAAATTATCTGTTTTGATGCTCTCTGTGTGTCAGCTGGCTCAAACCAGATGAGTATATCAGCCTTAATGAGTCTACGTCACTTAGTTATTTTTATAGAATTGAGAACCGAATGGTCTTGGGGGAGGAGTTGTAATTTTCAGTGGGATTCTTGGTATTGCTCAGAGGTCAGGGTACAAGTTTACTTTACTTTAAAGTGTTAGTGATTAAAGTGAGATACAGTAAAAGTAAAACAATTCTTATATTGCAAACACTCAAATGTTCAGAATATGTGTAGAATCTTATTCAATCATGACACCTTTCAAAATAGTAAGAGCAAATACAGAGACTTGCTACTGCCAATACATCCACAGACATGCTGCTGTGAGCAAAACAAGACACACTTATTCAAAGCAGACTTATACAGGTGGAGCTGGGGGAGGTGGAAGGTTTCTGAAAGCGCACTGCAAGACTTTCAGGGGGGTTACAGCAAATACAGAACCAAACTGTGCCATCTAGAGTTTCATGACTGGACTAGATATGTGCAGAGCAGTGTGTCTCTAATCTAGAATCTCTCTTTTTTTGGATTACAAAGAAAGAGTCCAAAAAAGTTTGATATTATTCTCCACTTAATCTGGAAGATTCTGTGTGACAGGCATGTAAAGCGACCAACCACAACCACAGCGCTGTTTAGGGGCCTTAACCTGAAACTTACCACAATAATAGACAAGTGTGTGCAGGGACTAGTTCAAACAATGGTGCAGTAGTCAATGCAAAAGTTTCAAAGTGCGTCACGCAAAACCAAAACCCTAAGCAACTGTCAATGCTTTGTCACTACGGGATGGTCTGTTTGCTTGCCATCTGAGGCTCATCCTATTGCCTGTAGCTGCTTAATAGTTCATACCAACCTAATCAGACACATTTACACATCTCTATTTGCTAAACGGAACCCAGCTTGATTTTATTAGTTCACTCTTTCAGAGATAAACCTAAACCTTTCTCATAAATCGCAAGTCTAAAAGAACAGAGTGGAAGAAAACAAGGGGTAAAAAAATGTGAGTATGTGAGAGCGAGGGTCCAGGAGCAGACTGTGGGAGTGTGTATACTGCCAGCGTGATTTTGGCTCTTTTTCCTGGTCAGCTGATGTGGAGGGCGGGTGCTGATTGGTGCGTCCAGCTGTGCACAGCTGCAGCTGATCTGTGTGAGACAATGTTGTCAGTGTTTCCTGTGCTCCACTTCTCCAGAAAGAGAGAGAGTGTGTGTGGTTTTGGAAGACACTCACTGGATGTTAGTGGATCTGCAGAGGCAGACCTGGCCAGGCAGACAGATACAACTGGGGACAGAATGAGATGACGATGAGAGGGCACACACTTACTGGACTTAATCAGCAGTTTAAGTCTTTTTCTGATCTTAGACCTTAAAAAGTAATTTTATCGCTTTTGATGACCCCAAATTAGTCCTAGCTGTGAACCATTTAAATAAGCTAGCGTTCACTTTAAGAAGTGGTTCTTCGGAGGATACAGCTTCAGGTTGGAATCCCCTGAAGCTCTATGCCGGTTTGGGATCTTCAGGCATGGGCTGTACCAACAGTCTACTACACTCCATAATGAGAAGAAACCATTCACGCATCTTTTCTCACCAGCAGGAACAACTTCTCTTGGAAATCACTGCACCGGAAGAGGGGATGGTCACCAGCGAACCCGTTATCATCATGGTAACCAGAGCTTCTTACCTCCCAACCTTTGATAAATAGCAGCAATTACTGAAAACTTCCAGAATTCTAAAACATTTCAAAACTGCAGTTTTTGGAATTAGAATGGAATTTGCATGCTTAGTTCTTCACTCTCAAAATTTCACTATAACTCTTACATAGAACACTCATTGATTTAATGGAATTTAGTTTTATGTTTAGTTTTATGTATAGAATTTTTTTTTCAGTAGTTTCGTTTTTTTTTTTTTTTTTGATTGGACATATATATTTTTATTTTTGCATACACAATGTCATGGAAAGCGATGTATACCATATAGCAGAGCTCAGCTGCCTGATTTGTAACTATATCCTAGCCCAGCTCTGTATATAAGGTTGGACTTCCTAAGTTTAAGATGCTGAGGCCTGTTCTTTGTATGTGGACAACAGCATTTAAATAGATGTGTCATCATGAGCTCAAATCTGCTTAGGATCAAGTTTATTGAACATAAAGAGGATGAACAGTGATACTGGACATCTGCTCCAGTCACTGTGCCATTCCTACAAGAGCACCAATGAGAGTTTAACATTATTTTATATATTTAATTTGATAAAGCAATGTTTTAAAGAAGAATCTGAATCTTGCATGCATTGCAAAATTTGCTTAGGATGAGGGTTTGGGTTAAGGTTAGTTGCATGTAATTATCCATAATTTATTGTTATTAATATAGTAAGTTTGTGTAACAAGCACAATATAAATAAAGTGTTAGCTACTTTTTCAATGAATCATAATTATCTAAGACAGCTCAGTCCAGATGTTCCAAACCAAATGATCCAAAGTGGAATTAGCTTTATTATGTTAACAGACCGGTGACTGATAAGTTATATTGTCTCTGATGTATTAAGTGCAGAATGAAGAACAGGGATCTGTGATGTGTTTTTCATTGATTAAAGATGGGTTGTTTAACAATGGAAACAAGGGCAGTTTTGTAACGTACAACGAGAATATAGTGCATTCCACATTATATTGTTTCATGTATCTGTCCATCTAGTGAAGATCTAGTCTTGTGTGTGCATGAGAGGTTTAGAAAAGAGCTGGAGTGGGGTTTGATCCAGCATGCAGACCTGTTTCTGACAGACAGAGAGCGGAAGAAGTAGTGCAGCAGGCACACCCATGGGAACTGAAACTCCTGGAAAAATGCTGAGATCTTTGGGAAAAACCGAGCAACAGCTGTGCTTATGTTCTGTAGGGACTGAGAGACACGAGAGAGCGAGGCAAAGAAAGTGACTTACGCTGTGTTTCATTTACTATGTTTAAGTTGATATGGCTCATTCTCAATCTAATGAGTAGGAATACATGTCAACTGCTGCAGTGATTTTCCATGTAGGTCAACAGAAAAAGAAAACAGCTCTGCATCTGGAGTTACTTATGCCTTCATTCATTTCATTCGTTTTGCTTTTTTCTCCTTTTACTCTGTTCTTCTAAGAGGGCGTTTAGAAAAAAAAAAAGATTTACGTTTCAGCCACAGAACTGCAAATATACATTCAAGATGACTGATTGTTTTCTTTGACACTGCAAAGGTTTAAAAAGTCTAAAAATATAACTTTTTTTGTCATATTTTCATCATGCTAAATTCTTAAAGTGTTGAGTGTTGCTCTTCAAAATCCCTCACAGGTGCTCAAGAGTGTTAATGGTTGAATGAAAGGATTGTCCACTGAAGGTTTTGGGAGAATGTATATTGTCATTGTGATGTTAAAATGTAGGGAATGAGGAGAGGGTAGCATCTTCTGTTGCAGGTTTTTCTGTTACATCACATAGTGGTGTGTAAATTCATGACAGCATTGATAAAGCACTCATACATCCCTATACACCCCTACTACCACTTACCTTCAGTGTGAGAACCAGGCACTTCTCACTGTACTCCTCCTCTAGCAACACCATAACATTTCAGATGATTTACTTCATCTCATGAGACCAGAGTATGGATTCTATAATTTGAACGAGTCTATATTTTGTAAATATGGACCTTGTAAAAGGTTAAAAGAGTTTACTGTGCTTTGGCTACAGTAGGTACTAGTTCCTGTGTGGACAACAGCCGCATTTCACTTCTGCACGTTGCATCTTATTGTGTGAGATGAAACAGTCACTCTTTTCATAGATTTTGCTGGCTATGAGACTTGATTGGTATTTCTCCTGCTCTTTTTCTAGCAAAATGAAAGCTTAACACGAAGGTCAGATTGTGCTATGAAATAAGTCTCCTTACGATTTCCCGCCAAGTGCTTCTGTTACTTCTAAAATGTACTTTCCTGAATAATTTTGACGTGCTTCTTTGATAACTGATCAGTCAGGCTTTCTTGAATATCATATCTCCAAAGAACCATATTATGTATTTTAAGTAAAGAGTAATTGCTGAATTTGTGTTCAGCAATTATATATAGTTTTAGCTTATACTTATATAGGATATTAAAAATATATATATATATATTTTATATCCTATATAATGCTTACTGCAGAGCAAGCACTACTGCCAATAGATACACAGCCATGCTGCTATATGCTTGTATGTATGCTGTTTCCTGAATAGCATACATAAATCCCATATTGGATCTAGACAGGTGGAGCTGGGGGAGGTGGAGGGTTTCAGAAGTGCTCTGATGTCCACTTACAGCCAACACTGAACCAGGCTATTTAAATGTTGAGTAAACAATATCAATGGCTACAGTATCAGTGGAGGCCAGGCAGTATGTGGGCTGGGGAAAAGCATGTTAATTTGGATTGTGTAAAATGCCAAATTTCCATTTTTCCCATTTCCTGTAGCTAGAATTATACGGTCTCCCCTGGCCCCACAAATCACACTACTTCCACACATACCCTGTGATCGACCACCATCAGCCGCATGTAGGACACCCAACCATTGTGGTGTCTGTCTGGCAGCTTGACTGATCCTATCAGTAAGCTATGCATGTGTGTAAGTGCACACAGCCGATACAGTCAAATTGAATGTGTCAAATATGGTTCAAAGTGGAAAAAAAATGAACATGCAGACAGAGAGAGAGTTGACAGATAGCGAAAGTTGTGTGTGTATTTAGGCCATGCCCTACTGAAGAAAAAGCATGTGAGAGTGGTGTTAATGGTCTAAATAAACATGGGTTGACATGAAAAAGTAGCAGTTTTACCATTTAAGTAAGGAAGTGAAGTCTGCTGTGTTTCACTGACACAGCTAACACTGACTATCAGCTCTGCGTAAAATAAAGAAGACTAAAGGCACGGTTCATGCACGAAAGCAATGCTGTAAGAAAGAACAGACCTCTTAAGTAGGCCTTAAGCTGCAGATATGATTCCCTTAAGTAAACCTAAAAAAATGGCTGAAAAGTTCAGAGCCTCATAATGTATGGCTTATGTGTTAATTATTTGTGTTACATGGCTCTCTGAAATGCTTGATTCTGATTGGTCAGTCGCAGTCGCGAAGGTCAAGTCTCTAGTCTCTAAAAGCACAACTAGTACCATCTTGCATCTCACTTATGGACTGTATTGAAAATGAAATCAGAGGACTTCAGTATTAATAGTACTGTAATATTGTAGTGTTGGATCTTGTTGCCTGTTGTAAGTGACAAACAATAATCACATGCATGTGATCAGCCTCACTGTGCAAACGTCACTCAGTGGATGCAGAAGATATGAAACAATTACTGTCTTTTCTCATCATAAATTTATTGCCGTGCCATTGCAAAATCATCGGAGATAAAAATAAAAATATATATTCTTTAGCAATTTATCATCTTCTGTCTTGGCATAATATTGACCAAGTTTGGTGAAGTATTTTAAGGTTAACTGCATGCTCTTTTCTCAAAGTCTTACAAAAAAGGTGGACTTCTTGCTGGGTGGAGCTAATGAATTTCAGGGTAAATGACTTCAGGTATTACCTAACTTTGCCACCTGTTTGTGCATTGTACATGGAAACACTGTCAATAAATTTTGAAACACAAAAGGTGGAACTACAAATTCTGTTAATCAGATAGGGTTGTTTCGTGATGCCTATAATCTCAAAGTGGCCAAATATTGGCTTTTTCATAGACCGCAGCTGTGATGATGTAATTTTGTAGGCCATCCCGTAAGTGAGCATCACCGTGGTTCCCTCGACAAAAACCCAATAGGACTTTTCCGTTGGTTTTTGGGTTATTGCCGGAAAAAAGCTCTGTGGCCAACAAAATTGCATCATTCTAACAGAAATTTGGTTATGATGATGAAATTTAAAACCGAAATACAATCGGCAGAAGTAAAAAGCTAAACGTAGACTATAACCAAACTATTAAGCAATTGTTCCAGTCTTTATTTAAGAGACATTTTCCCTGAAAATAGTTTTTAAGAGCACGATGAGGCCTTTAAAGCATGTGAGTGATGTGATGATGTTTAAAGTCTTTGACAACCTCTGTAGTCTCATTTAACTGCTTTTTTTAAGACAAATAAAAGCTTTAAAAACACAAGGGGGCATTACTGATGTATTTTAGGACAGAGAATAAATTGTGAAGATATCTTGAGCTTGTGTTCACCAAGACCTTATGTCAGGCATTTAACCAAAACCCCACTGACTTTGGGACGAGGCAACTGGAAGTGGTAAAATGCAGCTTGTTTCTGGATTTTGGCTTACAAAAATGCATCACTCTATTGGCCAGCCAATATACAGCATCAGTCTCTCTCTACTCTACACACTAAAATACACGCAGCTTTCATTACACTGATTGTAAGGGACTGTTGTAGAATCTTACAACTACTTCCATCTACTCTCTAATATATAAAAATGCATCTGGACTCAAATAAACCCTGACAGTGTAAGTGAGCCAAAATGCAGATGTAAAAAAAAAAAGCTGTGTTTATGGCTGTCATGGTCGCTCTCCATCTGTCTCTGCTGCTGAAGTCACATGTCACTGCAGGTCTACTTCCCCCCGACTACGTGCTCCGTCTGACAGGTTTCACTTGCTCTCAGGAAAGTTCTGCTTCTCTCGCTAAAGTCGACTCATCCGTGGCC